CTGTCAGAGGCCTGTATCCCAAAAAAGGGAAAAAGATTACTAAGCAAGAGATTTAGACTGAGCTGGATGAGCGACCGACTCAAAGGGGCGATTAGCAAAAAACAGAAAGCGTACAAAGACTGGAAGAGGGGAGTGATCAGCAAGGAAACTTACCTTAGTGAAGTCAGAGAATGTAGAGATAGAGTGAGAAAGGCCAAAGGCCGTGTAGAGTTGGACCTAGCGAGGGGAATTAAAAGCAATAGTAAGAGGTTTTACAGCCATATAAATAGGAAGAAAGCAAAGAAAGAAGAAGTGGAACCACTGAAGACTATTGCCGGAGAGGAGATTAAAGATAATCTAGGCATGGCGCAATATCTCAATGAATATTTTGCATTGGTGTTGTCGGAGAAAAACTGAGTTCTCACTATTTTGTTTAGGTGCAGCAAGTCAGACGCTTTATTAACTCTCACATGTGCAGAGGAGAGAGCAAAGCAGGTCTCTCTCTGGTAACTAATTACAGCAAGCATTTATACCTTTCATTACAGAAATAATGAGGGACAGCAGCATTTTGTTTATACATAGGCCATCTTGAGATCTCATTTCCTCACTTGTTTTGACTCTTGCCTACATACAATTAGTTTCTATTCCTTATCTACACAAGGTCTTCTACACCTTATCTATACTGAGGTCACAATGACTTCTTACACAGTTCTTTCTCACCCGTCTCACACAATCCTCGCTTCTACAAATCTCGCGTTATCAGGGTTATCAGGGTCACAGCTAGCTTGACTCTTGCTAACAAAGACTGTCTCTTGCTAACGAAGCCTGACTCTTGCTAACAACCATCATGCATTGCAGTTCCCTTCTGTCAGTTCTTTTCTCTGCTTCCACAATGTTTAATGAGGCCAATGAAGGTATTAGGGTTACTAGCACCATTACAGAGGGGCATTCAGGATGGGGGATTACCGTATCCGAGGTAGAAACAAAACTCGAACACCTTAATGGGGCTAAGTCGGGAAGACCGGACGATCTTCATCCGAGAATATTCAAGGAATTGGCGCAGGAAATAGCAGGCCCATTAGCGATAATATTTAATGAATCTGTAAACTCGGGGGTGGTCCCGTTAGACTGGAGAATAGCTAATGTGGTTCCTATTTTCAAGAAAGGGAAAAAAAGTGATCCGGGTAACTACATCG